TAAGTTCACGAAGTGTTTTATTGACATTTAATACATTGGCAAGGAGTTCAGCTCCTCTATTTGATATGCGGGTGCCGCCCAAATCGAGAGCTTTAAGACTTTGATTGAGCTTTAATCCATCGGCTAGTGCTTCGACTCCTCTGTCCAATATGTCATTACAGTTAAGATTAAGATTAGTAAGAGTTTTATTCACTTCTAACATATCGGAGAGACTTTCTGCACCTGTTGCAGATATGTTATTACCACTGAGATTAAGAGTAGTAAGGCTTGAGTTATATTTCAATGCATTAGCCAAAGCGTCAGCTGCTTGGTCAAATATTTGATTGTGTTGAAGGTTAAGAGTGTGTAGGGTTGAGTTGTGTTTCAACGCATAGCCGAATGCTTGCGCGGCTTTTGCATATATTAGATTGTTGCCAAGATCTAACGTTTTAAGAGTGTGATTGATTGCAAGTGTATGAGCAAATGCTTCAGCTCCTTTGTCTGATATTTGGTTGTTATTGAGATTGATAGTTTCGAGCGTATGATTAACCTTTAATGCATCAGCCAACCTTCTAGCTCCTTTATGAAGTATTATGTTGTGTTCAAGATTAAGATTAGAAAGAGTTTGATTAATTTCCAGTACAATCGCCAGTGCTTTAGCTCCTTCATTCGATATTCTGTTGTTTCCAAGATTGAAAGTTTTAAGACTCCGATTGCCTTTCAACCCACCCGCCAATGCTTTAGTTCCTTCATCAGAGATTTCGTTCCATCTAAGATCAAGAGTAATGAGCGTTTGATTGACCGCTAATACATTGGCGAGTGCTTCTGCTCCTTTGTCAGAAATTTTGTTGTTTACAAGAACAAGAGTAGTAAGGGTTTTCGTCAGTGTCAGCGCATTAGCAAGTGCTTGAGCTCCTTTGGAAGATATGCGACAGGATTGGAGATCAAGGCTTTGGAGCGTTTCATTGACTTTGACTCTGTTGCATAATATTTCCATGTCGATATCGTCAAAATTGCTGCACAAACTTATTTCTGGAGAAGTATTTATTTCTGATAGATGCTGCTGAAGAATATTATTTTTTGGAAGAAGTTTTATATGTACATTATGCTTTTGATCTTTTTCGTTGGATATTACTTTGGTGGATATTACATCTTCGATTTGGAACTTTGTTCCGGCTGGAAGGAGGACTTCTTCTTCATCCTCGATGTTTGAGTATTTAGAAAGATCCAGACTTGCTGAAAATGATGTATCGATCGTGAATAATATGTTGGGTCCAAACATTTCAGCTACATCTTTCCGTTTGCTGGTCGAAGTGAACTGAAACCAGCACTTTTTTTCGCCAATGGCTTTCCTATAGTAATCAATCCCACCTGCCTCTAGTACGGTACCACGATAGATCGTATCAGTTGTTCTGTCATTTATGTGGTACCAGGAATGATATAAAAGGTAACAATATGGTCCTAGTGTATTTATCTTCGTCTTATCGTTTTCTCTGAGAGATTTGTTCACTTGTTCGTATAAGAATGAACTCATTGTATATAGGCGTATAACATATTTGCAAATCTCTGCTACATCATAATCAGCGGCTTCTCTCAGCGTGTTTGACATCATCTCTGCGTCTTTTGTTTTTTCCAATTTGTTACCTTCTTCAAGTATTCCAGCTGCTGCTTGTTGAACAATATCGCTAAGAGAAATATCGCGTGGTTGTTTATCCTTCCACTTTTTAATATACCCGTCGTATCCACCGTCTGTCCACTCATTAAAAGTTTTAGGTGATAGTGGACCAGTATATCTTTCTTGTTGCAAACGCCGATTTCGGTGGCTATGAATTGGTATCGGCTTGACTGGTGTCTTTTTACTGTTATCATGCTTATTGGTTGCAACAAATTTCTCTAAATCAACCCACACATCGTTCAATTCTACTGGTACTGTTTTACAATTTTTTCTTAATGCATCTTCAATAATCTCTGATTCAGGATCAGAAAAACTTATCCATTCATCATCTGAATTGACTGAAGATGTATTGCAATCTGATTTATAATACCATTGTACTTCTCTGCGGTGTGATAATCTCATTGAAGTAGTAAACTTTGATTCTTCTGTCATCATTTGTTCTTCAATAGTGATGTTGCTGGCACTCTATGAAGAGATAACTGTAATGAAAAATGAAGAAGAATACGATGAAGCTGAACCAACGATGTGACTATATCTTTATTAAAGATAAGATAGAAATATACACCCTCACTCCACGAATACTGATAGTATAACTACTAGTCTGTGAAGGATGCATCATGTCTAAGAATAAGTAAAGAGACACAACACAATAACAAAAAGAACAATGGAATAAGGGCAATATCAAAAGACATGTAAACATATAAGAATAGAATATGATACGAAGGATACATATTTAAAGAACAAAACATGAAGGATAAACATCAAATAAATAAACTATAAAGGAAATAAAAACTATGATGTTCAATTCATAGAGGACACAACAATATGGAGGTGAGGAAGTTGTGCCAATATCGGCGCACCCACCCGCTTTGCTTTGACGCGCTCCTGAGCGTCTTCTCATAAGATACACATAGAGAAAAAAAATTACAACAAACTTAAAAGAAAAAGACGAAGCAAAAGAAAAAATAAGATAAAATGCAAGGCAGAATCGACACTCCGTGATTTCGTTACTCACGTACTATCATTATATTTCAGTACTCCGAGCGATCTTCTCATATTCAAAAGCAAACTTCATACCATGCTGATGTTCTAAATCCTGTTGGTATATTTTTGACTGAGCTGTATCACTTCGAAAGCTTTAGAATATTAGTTACGTTCAAGTCTATAGTTCCTCTCTTTCTTTAGCTTGTTTTTTTATTAGCAAAAACCATTCTTCTGTAAATAAAACCTTCTAGTAAACTCAACATAGTGTGATTTCGCATTGTATAATTTGTTAAACGACAAATATTCACTAGGTGTTTTGGAGTATCTAAATATCATTCGGAGTATCGAACCCACACCCTCAAGATATTGCCCTCTGTGTTTATACGAGCATTTATCATTGAATGTTTTGATTATCAGATGAAGAAAATCTGAGAAGACGATTCAAATAATACTTTCGTGTCTGGAGAAATTAGCAGTACGAGATGTATGATGTTATATTATAGACTAACGAAGTAATTTAACTAATACTTACGGTTAAATATTGTCTGAAGAAGATTGAAAAAGTAAAAGAATATTCGTATGAGTTACGACTAAATAATGAAATAGGTAAAAGCAACTGAATGAAGTTATGAGAAGCGTATGTTTACATCTATCTACCTTGAGAGTGGTTATTGATGCATAAAAATATTCTCGTCTGAGTAGAAAAAAAAATAACCAACTGGTATATCGATTGGGTGGAGAATGAATACGATATTTTGTAATCAAGCATACAACGTATTATAGATAAGAAGAAAATGTGCGCATCAAAATTTCGCTTATATACACTGAGTTTCTCTTCACTAAAGTAAAACCAGCGAGATGCATCTGTCTCTTTTCTTCGTCTGAATACCTAGTAAACAATCGTATGCATATATCGTACAGACAACGTTCGTTTTTCATGATGCACACGTTATTCTTATTCGTTAAAAATTATTTTAGGCACTCAATAATAAATAATAAAAGGCTTTCTCTCATATAGGACGAAGAATAGAAGAAAACATTCTTTGAAATAATTAAAAAACAAAAGAAACAAGAGAAATATTCTGTTGTCTATATAAGAAAATTTAGTGATCGAACTGTTGGATTTAATATAAGATTGTTTCTTATGCGTCCTATTACTCATACGCATACAATATTTAAATCTTATACACGTTATTCATAAACACCAATAATTCAAATGTGTAATCAAATATATAAAAAATCTTCTGATGTTTTAAATAAATTTCGTTTTAATATAATTGTTGTATTATTATCGTAGAGTTCTATAGCAATTCTAAGTAAACTTGATATGACATCAATTCAACATCTTTCAGAATATTTATTTATTTCTCAATTGTACACATAAAAATTCATTTGTTGTGTAATCTGACATAGATTTAATTGAAAATTAGTTGAATCATGTTTTTACATCAACATTAGTTATTTATGAATTAATATCTGATTCAAACATAAAATCAAAATAAAATGCAATAGATTTATAATTAATTGGAATATTATTAAAAATATGACAAAATTCTTGACGAAATTGTTGAAATACTTAAAAATGAATCAAATCGATGTTTATCAGAACAATTACGTTTTATGTTAACATGACATAGTGGTCAAGAAATACGCGATATACATAATATGTAATATGTATTTATTCATTACAAAGAAACTATCCAAAACTCATTGATAAAATATATAAGATTTTTTTCATTCAACGATAGAAAATAGAATATTGCTTTTATTTTATTATTATGAATGAACTAATATTTGGTTTAAAAAACTATATGGATATTTTAAAATCGAATACTTAGAAGCAATGATTGCAACATATTTATTAAGGTTTATAATATCCTCTTAGTAGTATCAGGATATTTTCACATTGTGTAAATGATATTGTGACATTGAAGTAGAAGAACAAGTTTTCCAAAATTGTTATACCGTATCAAACGAAACATCTTTTCGAATTCTTAATTATATGATCTGTTAACTGAGATATTCTACTGTATCTCGATTGTCACTTTTGAAAGATGATTTTATAAATTAATATGATTTTTATATAATTTAAACTATACTTGAGTATAATGACGAATTGTGGTAGAATGCTTATGAAAACTTAAAAATGAATATAAGGAACAGTTCCTTAATTAAACATATTCCTTTTATAGATCTATAATTGAACTATTAACATTTTCTTACTTGATCAGATCATAATAAATTCTCTAATATCGAAGATTTCATATAAAGGGTGTGGGTGTGAATTTATTTTTTCGTTATTACACATCCACACTCTCAAGACGAAAGTAGAACAAAGATTTACCATTGACTTATTTATTATTTACATTTCTTTCCAAGATGTTTTTATAAGATGACAACTTTGTAATAAACCTGTTCGATTAACAATATAATCATGAACATTATATTTAAATAATCGAAAATCATCATTATATAAACGAATAAGTTGACAAATTAAATCATCTGGTAAAGTTATATAATATTTTTGATAATCCCATTTCTGAAGACCAGACGGTCCATTTCTTTTTTCAATATTCCAATTTGTTATATTAAAATGTTTAAGAAATTGTGGAAAATCTTCATCGAACAATTCATATTTTCCAACAAAATTATATCGAAATTTACAAACTTGACAAAGTGTTGAATATGGTTGCCAATGAAAATTCAATCGAGCAATTCCATTTGGTACATAAGTTGCAAGAATTATATAACGAACAAAATCTTCAAATGATGGAATTATATTCCTACACGAATCTTTTAAAAGCATTAATTGACGAAGTTTTATTGAAGTAATACGTTTATAACAAATTTCCATACGTATTTCATCATATTCAAATTCAGGTTCAATTCGATCTTTACTAAGTGTTGCTATTCGTTCTTTATAAGCTGATGCTAA